ACAACGACACCTAGACCACACACCGGGATCGCGCTGATTTTACATCTTACTGGAGCCCCTCGGTTGTAACCACAAAGCCATGGCCACTGTTGAAGTACATTTCAAATCCAAACCCCGGGAATTTTTTTTTTTTTTTAACCAAGACTCTGGAGAAGCACAGCCAATGCCCTTCAGGAGACTGGGAAGAAAGGGTGGCAGCAAGAGAGTCCCCTCCCCCTGCTGGCCTGGCTCTTAGCTCCTCCAGTGGTCGCGAGTGACCCAGGGAGGCCCACGGCAAGACCCAGCCCCACGGAGCACACGTGAGCACACAGGGCACCTCTTCTCCCCTTCCCAGAGTCGCAAGAAGTCCTAGCCTGGCTTCCAGAAACACGCTCCAACGACGCTCTGGTGTGATTCTGTTTTTGTTACTTCCTGAGCGTGACTAATCCAATTTGTCCCTTCCCTGCCGCATACACAGAGTCCTTCCCACTCTCCTCACCACTGCGAGAGTGGCCTATTGTGCAGCAAGAAATCCATGCTGATCAATTCGGGGCAGGCTGCATAAGGAAGGCAAATTACATGAATATGAGTTCAGGATAACTATGATTAATCCTTTGGCCAGGCAGGGCCCCGAATCCCGTCATGCCCTTGGGTAGCTCCGAGGTGACAGGGCTAAGGACAGCACTTCTGATGGCCACGGCGCCCGGCCATTCATTACCGTGATGTCCCCATCGCTGAGCCTACTGATGAGATTATTGATCCCAGGAAATAATTATGTGAAATGCATCACGGTAAGCGCGGGCCATTGTCTTTGTAAGTATTTATTGGCAAGGGATGTAAGCTTTCCGTCACTTTAGCAGAGCCTCACTTTTATGAATTAATTGATGGCACCTTTTCAGACTAACAATTGGTACTTTTGCTGGAAGAAAGAGCAGAGAAGAGAGGAGGAGAAAACAGGAGGAAGGAACAAAACCCAACATGCAGGAAAAGCCGAGAAAACCGGGAAGTCATGTGCCCAGTAGATGGTGCTGTAATCAAATTCTAAAACCTGTTACACCAGCTGCTTAGAAAAGTGTTAGAGGAAGTGAGGCGAATGGAGAGCTTGTTAGAATTAAAGGCACACAGTTAAATGGATTCAGCCATTTCCCTTAATTTGGATAAAGATATAATAAAGATATGATGACCACGATGATGAAAGCAAGGCCTCCTTCCAGAAATCGCAGGCCGGGAGGGTTTCTGTCTCTGAAGCAGCCGATGTAGGGAGATGGTGGGTGGTAACAGCTCCACAGAACCAAACGTACTTGCTCCCCACCCACACTGGGCCCTTGGTAATACCAGAAAAATCAGTGAAAAGGCCTTTTCCACGCTGAATATTAAAGTGGCACCCATAGATATGTTTAATTCTACCCCAATGAGAAGGAATGGCATTCATGTACATTTTTTGCCACTTAAGGAAATTAGTCTACAAATCCAATCCCCAGACCCGCTATCGACCTGGAAGCAGCCCCACAGCACGACCCCATGGAAAGTTTAAAGCCTGGGAAAAGACAGTCAACTGGACCTGATTCCGGGTTATGGGTGATGTTGGGGAAGGGAGGGGGCCTCAGAGCAGGAAGGGCATGATGGAACATTGATGAGCGAGACCACCACCTTCTCTGACCCTCGGTCTCCTCCTTCGTAAAGTCAGAAATGATGAGAGATCTAAATAGAAATGACTCTTCCTGGTCCAGCTGCCGTGTGGTCAGGTGAGACCATGGAATGAATAACTGGAGTGGAGCCAGGTGGCAGCTGGGGATGCAGATGCACAGCCTCTGGGTGATGGGGCTGCCCCACTGGCTCGACCCAGGGCCCTTCTGGACCCATTTGAATCCAGCTCTTCTCCAGAGTGGCCCAGGCCCCTCAGCAAGGTGAGATGTCACCTGGAACACACTCGACCACAGCCTGTTGTTTTGTGGGCGGCTGGGGGAAGGATGGAGAAGGGCGAGATACCACCAGCTGGGAGACACAGGTGTGGCGGGGAGACTCGCCGTGGACAAGCACACACAGTGGTGGGCGGCCCCGAGCCGGTGGGGCTCTCTAAACTTCCTAAATCGTGGCTGCCCCTGCTGGATTTGCCAGGCTTCCAAGTGACACTGGGAGCACCAAGCCATGTTCAAGTGGATGCAGAAGGTCCTCCCGGGCTTCAGGCTCCTGACTGGCTAGTTGACAAAATCCCTCACACCTCTCAAGACAGCCTCTGCATTCTACAAGGCGTTCCAAAGGTATCTGGATGGAATCTTTGGGGTAAAGGTCAAGGCCAGGTGCCTAAACTGCTGAGTGGTGGCCTGGTTCCTAGGGACAGTGTTGGTCTGGCCACAGGTAGGGGCGCAAGACGTCACTGGGAGTGGAGGTTGGGGTGGGGAGGATGCTGGAACCATCTATGTTTCCATGGAGAGGCAACTGCTCAGTTGATGCTAACCCCATCTCAGGGACAGAATTAGGGTCCGGAGGGCTAGGGAGGGCTTCATAGGAGAGGTAAACCTTGAGCTTGACCCCAAAGGCCCAATACAATGTGATTGACTAGAGTGGGGAGAGAGGGGATCAGGAAGGGGGTTCAGGTAGGGATGGGGACAGAGCAGTCAGGAGGTAGGAGGCACAGGGAGGAGTTGGTTCCACTCAAAGGCAAGGGAGGAGCTCAAAACTGAGATTCCACGAGCCAGGGCCCTGAGCATGAAGGCCCTCACCTCCCCACCCCCTAATTCTTCACCAGGAACACACCAGCAGTTCCCCAGGGGGCTGGCACCAGGTGCTAGGCCCACTGTGCCACTGGTGTCATGGGCTTGTTATAAAACACATGACTTGAGGCATTGTGCCTGCAGCTACAAAGCCACAAAGCCTGAAATGTCAGCAAGACTCCTCTCCCCAGGGAGCAGTGCAAAGCCATCCAGGAAACATTTTCCTCCTGACCGTCTCAGGTGTGCACTTCCTACATGCGTGACTCTGCCGCCTCTCCCTCCTGCTCAGCTGGACACAGGCATGGTTGCATTCCGCAGTCAGCCAGTCCCCGGCATGGCCCCAGCACCACCACCATCTCCTACCGCCCTTAGCAGCAGCAATCCCACCCAAGAGCTCATCACCATGGGCACCAAAATAAACAAACTTTTGTTTATAATTAAGAAAAGAAATGAATCAGAAGTTCAAAACCAGAGGAAGAACTCTGTGAGCCAGCCTCAATATGACAGTTGCATGGAAACGTCCAAATCTTAAAGTTGGCCAGAGTGAAATTCATTCTTTACCAAATTCAAGTGGCCAGTAGCCTCCCCAGCAGCATCCTCAGGCCCCGATCTTCACTTCTGCCCCAGCCCAGGACGCAGGTCCCCCAGAACCTTTGGCCAGGGCCTGCCCCACCCCTGCTGGCCTCTCCTTAGCTGCACTGATGGACAAGGAGCTAGGGAGCAGCCTGGCCCTTCAGATGCCTCCAGGCTACAGTGATAGTTCATTTCATGTGTCAACCTGACTGGGCCACGGGACGCCCGGATTAAACATCATTTTTGTGTGTGTCTGGGGTGGGGTTTCCAGATGAGAATGGCCTTTGAATGGGCAGACTCCGTACAGCAGATTGCCCTTCTCAACTTGAGTGGGCACCATGCAGTCCTTTGAGGGCCTGAATAGAACAAAATGCAGAAGTGGGGATTTGGTCCCTGACTGCCTGCCGCGTGAGCTGGGACATCGGTGTTCTCTGCCCTTGCACTGGGATTTACGCCATCGGCTCTCCTGGTTCTCAGGCCTTTAGACTCAGCCTAGAATTACACCTGCACTTTCCTGGGTCTTCAGCTCACAGCGGGCAGATTGTGGGACTTCTCTTTTATATATAGACATATAGGTATCCTGTTGGTTCTGGAAATCCCTGACTCATTTAAGCACAGAGCAAGCACCTCCCTCGTATAACTACCAGTTTATGCTGAGAAATCAACCAAAGACGGGCCCTGCAGATCGTTATATCTGAACCACATAACCATCCTTTTAACTGCTTCCCAACGAAGCCATGAAAGTTTTCTCATGGATGACTCCTGCACTGTTGGAACCCTGGAATTGCAGAGATGCCCAGCTCGCTGCAGGATTCAGGGATCTGTCAGGTCTCTCTCTCGAGAAGCACTGTCAGGCAGCATCTCCTCCCTCACTTGGCCCAGCGGAGCTGGGACTGGCAAAGACCTGGGCCCTCAGAGCCCCGCCAGATGCAAGGGTGAGAGGGAGAGGGTCAGGAAAGACCAGCCCCGGGGGAGGGGCAACTTCAGCCCCTCTGCTTTTTGCTTTCCACACCCAACACTTGGTGCTGCATGTAACTTCCTGCAAGTGAATATTCAGACTATTGCCTAAGTGTTTGGCATTACTGGGTTCAAAGAAAACAGCTACCAAGTCAGAAAACATTTTCATAGATCACATCCCCTTGTGTAACACATCTCATGTTCCCAGACTATTGACCCACAGATACGTTTCCTTGGGCTGCAGAATTTCATTTCATCCACAGTGGGTTCCTGCTAACAAGGGATTGCAGCAGGCTGATACTTTCAAAAGTGTGAAAAGCAGTTCTAAATACGCTGCATTTGCCTTGGGGCAGGGTGGGGAGGGTTGCCAAAAATCATAATTACCCCTGATAGCTTTTACTGATAACTGTTTCTAATACTCATTTGTCATCTGCTGTACTTAGATGGCGTGCCCAGAACAACACACAAAGGATTACTGCAATCCCACATTTTGTTTTCACCGACATCTTCTTGATGCTCCAACGCCCCCACGCCGTGGCCTCGGGCAGGGTGATGCAGCCAATACAGATTGACTCGCAACCGCTAAGAAATGAGCTGGTGCCTCCACTACCTGTGCCTCGGGCCTAGGTTTGTAAAATTTTCTGCATACTGCAGACCTACTCTGTGCCATGTACACAGTAGGCATTCCAGAAATATTTCCTTTATGGATGAATGAATGCATGAATGAATGAAGAGAAAGCAATTTGTAAACTGTAAAGTACTTTACAAATCAGGAGGAACGAGGACTCGATATTTAATTTCATGATCTAGCGTGCTACTAGGCTTCCAAAGCCATGATCTAGCTTTGAAAACAATGGAAAATGTGGCTTCACCCCTCCATTCAAAAAACAAGTATTTTTTGAGGGCCACACTGCAGGGAATTCTGGGGACAGAGCAGTGAACAGGACACGGTTCCTGACCCGGCGGATTGAGCCTGGCAGGGAACCAGAAGAGTAAAAGAGTAATTACACAGATGAGTGTTGAATTACACGTGTGATACAAGCCACGAAGGAGAAGCATAAAGTCCTGTGAGAGCAAA